GGATTAAGAATAATCTTTTAACACACTGCCACAAAAAGACAGCAAATGTGTTTCTCAGCACGGTCATCAATTTTAACAGTGTGTGAGGCAATGTGTTAAGGGAGCTCTGGTGGCCTTGTGGCAAGAAGCTACGCTGCAATCCTGAAGGCACATGGTTCAAATCCACCATATGCTCTGCTGGAGAAGGAGGGGCAATCTCCCTTTTTGTCAATCGGATCTGACTTGATGGCATACAACAAAAGAAAAGAAAAAAATTAAAAGAATAACCTGTTAGTTGACTTTTAAAGAGTAAAGATTTCAGGAGGCAGGAATAATTCCAAATGAATAGATTATATTTCTCCTTATTTTTCCACACAAATTCTAATAGGTTTGTAGAAGGCTTTCAAAACTGACAATTTCCCTTAACTCCAAGTACTAATGTGGGGCCTTAAAATGGCAAGAGATTTAAACTTAATTGAGTGCTCACTCACCCCCAGCCAGCCAAGGAGTCAATTCAAACTCACAGCTATCACACCAATTCCTAAGGGCTATAAATCTTAATGGAGAGACAGCCCATCTTTTTTCCCTTAGAGTGGTTAGTGTATTCCACCCTCCAGAGACTCTCAGCAACATTCCAAGGACACAAGACCAGAACGGCTTAATACAATGTTGTTGTTGTTGTTGTTGTTATGTGCCTTGAGTCAACTGCAACTCCTAACAACCTTGTATGTACAACAGCCCTAAACTCTTCTCTATCCTGTGCCAATCTTACTGTCTCTGACACATCTACCCCCTTTACCCCAGTCACTGAATCAATATCCCATTGAGGGTCTCCCTCTCTTGCATTGTCCCTCCACCTTCTCAAGCATGACATCCCTCTCCAAGGGTTGTATAACACGTAATATTCATATGTGATGTAACACAGTTAAATACAACAGTATTTCAAGGGCCCAGTATTCTCAGAACATAAATGCAGAAGTAAACAACAACCAAAAAAAAGCAGCAGAGAAGAGAAAAACTAGTAAAAACAAACTTCAACAACTTACTACAATATAAACCAGAAAACTAAACTCACTGTCGAGGAGTGGATTCCTTCTCCTGTCTATTCCATAGGGTTTTCTTACAAAATAGGACTGATCTTTTACAAAAAGCCCTGACAGTACAAATGGTTATGTACTCATTGTTAGCCAAAGACTGGAGGTTTGAAACTGCACAATGATAAGACCCAGTGATCTACTCTCACAGAGGTTAGAACCTAAGACACTCCGTGGGGGAGTTCTGCTTCCCACTAGGGTCACCACTAGGAACAGAACATCTCAAGCACAGTGGGGGTTTTGGTTTGGTTCTTTTAGCTGCAGACAAGGTTAATTCTATGACTGTCAAAATTGTATATATTAATAATATGAGGAGCAGCATAGAAAAATACTGAAATTTCACAAAAATCTGCAATAAATCTTCTAGAGAAGTAATCTATTGTTTCTCCATGACTAAGAATTTTAAATATTAGAAATGTCACAAAACAAACAGCTTTTCCAGCTTTTAGATTTTCATAAATAAAAATCAAATTGAAAAACTCTTTCCAACCCAATGTAAGAAGAGTTTTATCAGTCATATATAAATTTTACATTTTATAATCAATTTTCTCTAGAAACACTAATTGAACTTGACAGTTTTACCACATAGTCCATTTTAATGATCAAGTGTTAATGTGTCATAATGAACAACAAAACTAGTTTGATAGAACAAACCGGGCTTTAATCAGCAAATGGCCTATGGAATCTCAAATTTGGAATCAAATCAGTCCTGCCTTCAACAAATGCCAAATTATTCACTAGTTTATTGTGGCCTTAGGAATAATATGTGGAAAAATCTAGTATCTATTGGGGGCAGAGATCCCATGGCTCAAATATTCATCTGTGTGTTTGTGTGAAAATGAAAGAATTATTTACAATTTTAAGTAGCAGGGCAATGCAACATTAAAGATATATATAACCATTAACTATAATTCATAAAACATCTTGTTAAAAAATCTTGTTATCAAAAGCACATCATCAATTTAAAATACTAATATGGTACTAGCTTAAATAAACCAAAGATAAATAATTTCAAAGCACCTAATAACCCAAGTGTATTGTCAACTAAGTAAAAACTGACTGTGTAGTCTTCTTTAAAAGAGATTTTTTTTCCCTTCCTTTATGGAACCCATACCTAAATGAACTATTAAACACTTACTCTAAAGGTATGCCAAGTATTTCTTAAGATCTTAACAAAGAATCAACTTTTTTTTTTAACAAAACGAGGCCTAGGTTAAATATTTTATTTGGCTTCTCAAGATGGACTGAGAAGTTGGGCACTAGCTCCAGACCAATTCCTGGACGCACATCAAACACAACCCTGTCATTTATCCACTCAGTCAAAACAATCTTTTCCATCTAACCCTTTAATGTTTATGTCCTAAAAAGCTACTAATTGAATCCAGTTCTTGCAATCGATTTGTTAAGATATATCCCATCTAATTTATGAATGATAAAACTGAAAACATGAATGTTAACTTTCTTGTCCAAAGAGTTCAAATGTAACAAAAAAAGAACAAGCAATGCTTGTAAAAACTGTCACATTTTGAGAGAGAAAGATTCAGAGATAAATTCTCAATAATTTCAAGAAAGTGAGAGTACCACTACTATTTTTATACTTAAAGGAATAATGAAAGACAAAGAGTATTTTAAAATTCCTCAGGAAAATGTTAAAATGCACAATCTCTATATATTTAATCCAATAGTTCTACTCCCTTTGGAGTTCCCCTCCAAAAAATAAGTGTAGCCTTTCCTCCTAACGAATTTTGTCTTTGCAATATTTATCTTCTATAGGAAAGAAACCACAGATAAATACTTTCTAAAACTTTTAAAAACAATTATTGAGTCGATAAAAGCCTCATTTTATCTGCAGAAAACCAAAACCTGTTTTCTCCTTAACTTCCTCCATGGCTACAGCCCGAAGGGGAGTAAATGACCATTAGCCTATTTTTTTTTATTATTATTTTTGTGTGTGTATACCGTCAAATCAGATCTGACTGGTACAGGAGGAAACTGCCCTTCCTTCCGATTCGAACCGTGTGCCTCTGGAATTGCAGTGCAGCTTTCTTGCCACTAGGCCACCAGAGCTCCCCTACCATTAGCCTATTTCTGATGCTTTTTGCTCACCTGGAGTCACAGGGCCTTTCCATGATCAGAGACAACTGGACTGACTCCAGGAGAGGAACAGGAGCTGATAAACTCTAAAGCAACAAAGATCCCTTATCAAAGTTCCCATTGACTCCCAGGAAAATAAGGAAATGGAATGGGAGGAGGGTGAAAGGCAGGGAGACCAGCATCCTCCAATCCAGATTTTCCAGTCAGAGTCATTGAGTTCATGATTCTTGACCATATTCCCTCGGGGAAGTCAAGCTGTCGTCAAAGTAATGTTCTTTCCCCCCCCTTTACACCACAGGCAACATATATTAAAGCTAAATTCTCAAATAACCCAAGTTATGGCAAGTTTTGATCTGGAAAAGTTCAGCTTCGTGGATTGGAATGTGACACATAAACGCGCAACTACAAAATTTGTCCATATAAACCTTAAAGGCAAACCTATTTACAGTGTATTCTACAGACAAACGCATTCTGTAAGGAAAACCATCTTTTCTCGCCACACATTCGAAGAAAAACGTGGATCATTTCTCAATAGGCCAACTAAGAGAACTTACTCTGATTTCACGTCCACTTTTCAAACCAAAAATATTCTGTCTTTCAAATAGGATGACACGTCGAGGGACGAGTACAAAAAAAAGAAAGAAAAATGGCAAGAGAAGTGAAATATACCTGCAAAGGTTAAGGTTTTACACCACCAGGCGTCGGGACTACTTTTCTAAGAGTATTCTTCCCAGACTCTCTAACAAGCCCTCAGTCATTCTTTTCCATTGGCAAGCTGCAGAAAAGGGAAGGCGGCCAGCGAAGGGGGAAGGTTCTCGTCTCGTAAGTTTCCCGGGCCATAAACTTAAGAAATTCTCACACACACACACAAAACACACAGGAGGCAAGTTCTCTTGCAAGTTTGCTTAGCAATGTACAGACACACACACACACACACACACACACACACACACACAGGAGGCAAGTTCTCTTGCAAGTTTGCTTAGCAATGTACAGACACACAC